AGTCAATATGTGCATATACATGGGACATGCAGTTTTATAGCAGAAGCTTAGATGTAATTATTTGCTTTATCATGCAAGCAACTCTACAGTATCGCTGTCAGTCTATATCATTGCTGCTCGACCTCCAGCCCACAGGCCAAGTGCAACCCCTGGGGCTGTCATACAGCCTGTGGTACTACCCAGGGGTCCGGAAATCTGATGGTGGGGGAACAGTGGCAGCACCACTCCCGCTTTTCCATACATCAGGACCATGAGAAGCCCTGCAGGTTGGTTAATGTGGCCTCATGTACTGGATCACACTAGAATAGGGATCATGGTGGCATGGCAGATCATACCTGTGGACTGACCCCATGCTGGATCCAGCCAGCAGACTAATCCTGCTGGGCTGAAAAGTTGAGCACCAATGGTCTAAACTCCTGTATCATGTCTGGCAGTCACCTTTGCCTTAATGTAGACCAGTGGTGCTAAACCTTTTAGAGTGGAGGACCAGGTGCTTTCAACCAGACTGCACCCCAGGCCAGGGAAAGGGGAAGAGAGCTTACATCTGCTAAGCTGCATTTGCTTAGGACAGGGATGTCCAACCTTTTTGAATGTGGGGCTGGATCATGAACTTTTTATCACTCAGTGGGCTGGTGAGCCATATTCAAAGACCTCACAGGAAGCGGTATCACATCAGGAAGTGATGTCATGTGACATCTGACACCAGTGAAGTTGGAGGAAGTGACAATGAAATGGGTCTAATCAGTTCAAAACTCTCGCTCTATAGCATCCACCTCTGCCACTGTTCGGGACAAGATACTAAGCTAGATGGACCATTGGGCTGACCAAGCATGGCTCTTTTTATGCTCTTATGTTCTTTGGCTGAGCTTCCAAACTATAGTTGAGATTTGGAAAAAAAAAAAAAAAAAATGGTATAAAGGCATGTTACAAAGTTGTCATAAAAGATTTGGAGCCTTCTAAATCCCATTCATTTTAAAGGAAGACAGCCTTTGGACTCAGCATTGAAAATCTCAGCCCAAGGTGCCAACCAAATAAGTCAAAATATATTTTGCATTTCTATGTAGTGCATCTATGTGGGGCTCTCCAAGCATTTTACAAACATTAAATGAACCTCAGGATATCCTTGCTTTTCAGAAGAAATGTGGTGGTGAGGACATTCTGGGAACACCTCTCACACTGTGTGTGAGATCTGCTTCTACTGTCCTTGGACCACCCTAGAAGGGCCCTCACTGCCTCATTTCCAGTTCAGAGCAGGTAAAGTGTAAGTGGGTAGGAAGGGCTTATTTTTTGGCAGCAGGTTCAAGTGGCTTGAAGCTAGTGAAGATGTACCCACAATTAGTCACTGACCAGAGTGGGAACACAGTTGTCCTCACTTATTAACATGGCTCCAAGGCCCTGCACTGTCTCTGCCTACATGTTACTCTCATGTCCTCTTGCTTTCCTAAATCTCATGAGAGTAGAGGATTCAGCTGCATGCAACTTTTCCTGGCTGGTGCTGACCCGGCCGGGTCCATCCCATCTGGAGCAGCGTGTGGCTGAATCCAGCTTCTCACGAGCTGCTGGGGACAGGAGGAACCCGGCCGGGTCTGCACTGGCCAGCAGAGGTGGCAGTGGAGCCGTGTGCCACTCGGGATGGGACAAGCCTGGCTGGAGTGGCAGAAGCTGAGCTGCATTTTCCCCTTACCTGCGCCGGTCAGCCCTGGGCAGCACATGGCTCTGCCACCACTTCTGCTGGCTGGGGCTGACCTGGCCGGGCTCCTCCTGTCCCCAGCAGCACATGGGAAGCCGGCTTCAGCTACATGCTGCTTTTCCTGGCCGGTGCCAACCCGGTTCTGCCCAGGCAGGTCCTGCAGCACCATGTCAACCCGGACATGGCATCAGCAGGCCGGGTGAGCCCCAGGGTAACCCCGGCCTG